GCGCGCCGCCCGGCTGGGGACGCCGGGTCCGCCGCGGGCGCCACCACGCCGCTCCCCGCACGTGGAGGCCGAGCCCGCACAGTCACCATTTTCCGTCTCCCGGCGTCTTCCCCGCAGCTCCTGAAGTCGGTGGCCGTCACGGGGCAGCGGAGCTCAGCCCACCCGGGACTCTCTTAGAAACGAACAAGACCCCCAGTACGGCAAGAGCCTAAATATGGCGGCCCCGGAAGTGCAGATCCCCCATGCGGCGCCTCTGCATCACGGCCGCTCCTCATTGGGCGGTTCCTGCAGTCCCGCCCTGCTTCCCGGAAACCCTGGTTATCAAACCCCGCCCCCTAAGGCCTGAGTGACAGGGCCGGTGTTCAACGCTGCCTGAGGGTACAGAAATGACCCGGTCCAGCCTTGGCTCTTTCAAGGCCAGGTTTCCTCCCAGGGTACGAACCTAACCCAGTCAAGGGGATAACAGCATTTCAGCAGAGCTTGTCCTGGCTTTCCAGAGCGGGCACCGCCTTCCCACTTTACTGGAAATCGGATATCGGGGAAATTCAGATTACTCCGGACTCGGTCTCCCACAGAGACAACCCCTTACCTCAGAGAAGGAGAAGGGTCCAGCCCAGGCCTGGCCATACCGTGCGCCTCTGGACCAGAACAGAAGGCCCCGTGGGTCACACTTGAGGACTTTGGAATGAGCCAGTTGTCTTCACGGCCAAAGATTGCTCACCTTATCCAACAGTCCACCGGTTTCGTGCCAAGAAAGAACAAGCCAATGACAATTCAGTGTATGGAGTAATTTGAAGTGGGTCACCTCAAGATTTAACTCTGAAAGCTCACCACGCGCTGACATACTGTATCAGTCAGGGTTTACTAGAGGAACAGATATAATACAAGATAAACAAATGTACAAGGAATTACAAGTTTGGCTTACAATGGTCAGCTACAGAGTTGGATGAGGAAGCGTGCAGAGGGTGTGCACACTGGAGATTGAAGAGCCCAGCCTGGAGCTCACTGCAGTGTCCGTGAAAGTCCGTATCAAAAGGCTGATGGGTCTGCGACGGAATGCTG